GCTTCTCGTCGAATTATGACGGTTGCCTGACGGTTCCGGCGCGCCGGCCTGTTTCCGGCTTGCTCCGGCTTGCTCGGCCCCCCCCTGCTAGCTGCGGTGACTGGGGCCCAATGCAACTGGTAAGTTCTCGATTGCGACACGTGTTTGCCTCGAGTGTGTCCGTGATATGCCCGCCCAGATTCTGCGATCCTGCGCTTTCGGAAGGAACTAAATGAGCTAAGATGTAAACCATTGTTTCTATGGGATAGTAGCTCTCCAGTATTGACTGGTTGTGTGCGCTGGCTTTATGCTCCGCTTTCTCTTCTCGTCGAATTATGACTGTTGTAGCAAGCCCTGAAAGCGTGTATGAGCTTTTTTAGCCTACCACTGACTGGGGACAGGTTTGTCTGCGAGCCGCGTGCATGGTAGTCAGATCCTGCACCGTCCATCACTAGCTCGGTTTTTGCTCGTCCGACAGGGATATTCGACCATGGTCTGGTTACTTTCACCATTGCCGGTTAACTCCATCCTCAGGACGGTGACAGATAATATTCTGTATCGTTAAAGTAAGATGCACAATCCATATTATGCGTAGTTGCAGCTTCCTCACTGGGTAGAACCTCAGATCCCTTCATCTAGCTGTTCTTTTTGAAGGGAACAGCATGGGCGCACCCGCAGGTATTCCGGCATATGCCCGAGTTGACTGAGCGGGCACGGGTACACCGGTGTTCAGAGGTATCAGTTTCAACTGCGCATCCACGGACACGTTTTTGATCCCGTATTCGTGGCCACCGGTACCCATGCCTGTGCAGTTAATCTCAGCCTCAGCCTGTTCAGCTGAATTCCTGAGCTCTGTTTCAGTGTCCACCACCGTATGTGCATGGAAGATGGACAGGTCATGCATACGGTGAAATCATTTGAGTCTGAGTGGGGCATGGCATATGTGCAGCTGACTTCTAGAATCGAGACACTGTGCCCTTCCGCAGTCGGTAGTAAGCCTTGGGCATATGTGTCCAAAGGACTGCAGGGGAACGCACGTTGCAGGCTGTATACATCATTATATGGTTAGTGCTTCTTTCCTGATGGGGGACAATAATGGATATCAGAATACTGGGGACTAGTGTTCTTCTCCGGTCGGCAGGTGGAGTCTCATATCCTTTGAGAGGGTTAAAATGTATGGCATGGACTTGAAAATAACACGTATGGTGGGCCGGCAGCCCACCAGCTTATCATAGTGTGTAGCATAGGCGACGCAAGCTCTCAGACAGCGATAGCCTAAAATGGCGGAGGTAATTCATCACGAAAGGACACTCAGGGAGGGTTGAACATTCCGGGGTCGATAATGCAGGTCAAACATGATCGATACCGTGGGGTGAGTGCTTATCACGATCCGGGAGGCGGGGGTATATGTTTGTGGTTCTGCCTCGCGACTGAGATCCCAGTTTGATCCAGCATTAAAATAAGGATTTGACTGACTTGCCATTCCTGAGTCAGCGAGCCTCCGGTGATGTCCATACGCCTTACTAGTACACATCTCTGCCAGTGGGAACAACCGGTACTTATACCTACAGACTATAATTGTATAGGGTGTTTTAATCCTTTCTATTGGTACTAGGCGTCTCTGAGTACTAGCTGAAGATATGGGGTCTCAAAAGTGGAGTGCATCGGCGGGTGCAGTGATGTTCAGGTCACCCGAGGTGCGATCCGCAGCCAACCATCTGAGGGCATATTCAGCTTTAAAAAGTGAGCGTGTAGGGCACACCTTGATCCACAAAACAGACAGGTTTTGTGGATCATGTTTTGGCTGCAATCCACGAAGTGTCCTATATTTTCCGGTTGAGTACTAGTACACGAATGACTACATCTCGAGCACTGTCGGGGTTAGGGTTACTTTGTCTGGAAGCTCTCGACAGTTTCCGATCCAGACACTTACTTCTCACCAAGCAGGTACGTGTCTCTGTGATGAGATACTCCTTAGCAGCTCATATGTCAAACCAAGAAGCGCGGATGCTCAGTAATACGAGCGAGCTACTTATATCGTTTATAGGTCGGAATTACATGCTACACTCAATCGTTGTAACCAGCGTATGCAGCTAAAGGTATCGGTTAAATGGTTCTGACGTGTCCAGTGTTCATCTAACTGATACCTCAGCTTTGGGTTACGATCCATGTTCCATCAAACTTTCAGGAGTTCAGTAGTACGTACGTTTCAGACATGTTGTCTTCGGTATTAGGGAGTCCCTAATTCTTTGTATATTGCCTAGGATACATTCTTCTGTTTCAGCTTGTGGCGTTTGCCTTCTTTATTCCTCCCCGAACCCTTATCGAGATTCAACATCTGGCATCTTATACTCTCAACGGCTGCGCGTTGCTAGTGTTGAATACAGCTCCTCTCCTGCTCACTCTTGATGGCTGAGTGATTGTTGTTAAAGGCTTACTGTTCTCTCCTCCCATGCTCGCCCGGAGGATAAATTTGTTCCAAACTTTTAGGATGTTCTTCCTCCTTCGCATGCTGTTGCTTCTCATAACTCTGCCGAAATGATACTCTATCTTTGTCCCAGCCCTAGCAAAACACACGCTGGTATCTCAGTGAGTTCCTCCGCACCATCTCCATTGGACATTGACCAACCTCGAAGCACCGCTGGAGCTTAGATGGAGACGGATTTCGTCGGGAAGGTGTTCAAAGCTCGCCCGCCTCCCCAACAGTATAGCAGGAGAACGCTTACCAAAGATCGCCCGAGGACTAGGCTTTTTCCTCTGCTCTAAGGGAATCAACACACTGACCAGTGGCTTGCAGTGGTGTGAGCCACGCTGTGGGCGGCTGACGATGCATCGGCTGCCGGAGATAGGTGTAATCGAGAAAGTATCCCCTAGGAGTGGCGACGCTGCACTGCTAGTTATCACACGCGTTGATGGTAAGGATTTCTCTCTCAGGTTATCACATTCATTACTGCAACTGACTGACATGATACTGTATTACTTGGTAGACGCGACATACCGGAAGACTGTGCCTGTCATCCCCATATCTCTCTCCCCAGCTATTCTTCATTCGGAGACCGTCTCAACTGTTGGCCCTTATTGGGAAAAAGCGGCACTTCATGGTACCAGCCTGACGGTGCTTTTCCAATATAATGGGACTCACAATTCATCCCGGGTGTGCAGTGATAGTGGTTATGGTGAGCTGACTGCTGACCAAGGGATTTGTATTGACTCTAAGGCGTTTCCTACACACCTCCGCGCAGTCTGAACAGGGATGACCACCTGTGGCTAGCTCGGGTAGCCGGCTCGTTTCAGCATCTACGTGGTGATGTATACTAAGTACAAATAGATGAGCCTATGCCGACCTCTAAATAGCCAGCAGATACTCAAAAACAGTCTTAAGTTCACGGTATTATGCATACCTCGCGGACAGGAACAGACATAATCGGTCACGATAGTGATGCAGTGCTATAAGTACTTGCCGCAGATATACAAATGATAGATCGTCAGCGATCACAAGTTGATTAAATGCACTTGGATACGTGATCAAGGCATAATAACCTGAATATGCACTAGGTAAGTCACGTCGTGATCTATCGGCGTCGTTCAGCGAAGTCAGTAAGTCTTTCCGACATTACTCTCTAGGCAAACGTATAAAATGACCAGCCAACAATTACGAGGCGCACAGAAGCCATCGTCGGTTCATATATATCGTACACAGCTTCTATACTTGATTTAGTTTATTACTATGGCGTCGACACGAATCAGTCTCGAGGCAAGCAGGCTTGAAAAGCGAGGCCAATCACCTCTCTTTATCCGGAACATTACCACAGAAGGGCCATGTACGCAGACAGGGGAGAATATGTCATTCAGAAGACAATTTTACCGTACAGGGGCTCGCAGCTCTGGCCCATCTCTATGCCGGCCAGTGGGTTGTGTTCGCGGAGGCAGTTGGGCGCCTTTCGCTACGGCCTCCCTGCCACTTCCCATCTTCACGCACTGAGTATGGTATGCGTGGTCACTTGCACAAGGCTCTCGCAGGTCTGTCGTGTCGCGCGCATGAAGAACGTCGAGTGCCCCCCCCCTTTCCCAAGCATACACCTTGAACATGGTAGGGACGGTGTTACGGATGAAGGAACAGGTGCATCTCCCTTTGGCGTTCGTTGGCTACTCGGACGCACTGGCTGACTTGAGCTCGAGTACAACAGCGATCGAGTGCAGGAATTGATCCACTTTGACAGCCTTTCTTCCTGGGTGTAGAGGGCAACTGTGCCCTGTTGCCTGCGTCTAATACTGCACGATACAATGCATGCAGAGCGGCAACACATCGCCATAAGACTATCCGGAAAGGCTTGATGATGGTTTCCCTAATATGCCATTCGAAGTATAGCTCACAACGTCCTGCGATTCTACTAAGGTCAGGCTCCCCGGCCCATCTGATCTTACAGTTTATACCCTCGCCACCGTGAAGTGATTGGGCTTGGAATATAATAACGGAACCTCGATGTCATGGAAGTCCTGGTACTGACCTCGCAAGCGAGGGGTTTTTCTCTCCCCAAATGGCCTTGTGAGTTTGTCTTCGGTTCATCCCTGATATCCTGTTGCCAGCCTTTGAGGAAAGTAGGAACTCCTCCCTTGGAAAGCGGTCAAGCCTCGGGTAGTGGCTACAGCAAATGCCACACCTTTATTCTCGCTTGCATGTATCATGTACTTATGTTTATATGAGCTCGGATAGCTCGAAGGGCTTTGCGTATCAAAAGAGTATGCCGGGAGGAGGCTAAATATTACCCTTATTTGCTATTATTATTACTATTATCATTATTACCCGTATATCAGCATGCTCCCCCTGCAAAATTCGTTGTGCCACACTACGAAGTCCTGCTTGACACACTCATACGAACCTACCACAAAGAGATAAACTTATTTTCTGCACTTGGCAGAGCTAGTCTGCCTCGGAGTTATGCTGCTCCTATTTTGTGGCAGGCGAGGCCGCCACACGGCCCAAAATGTGCATCATCGGCGTTGACACCTTCGGCACGTGTGAGTGCCCAGTCCTGTGGCGTCCAATCACATTACGACTGCATTTGCCACTGGAGTCACTCTTACCGGTCCACATTTTCCTGTCTCGCTGTTCGTGTGTAGACTCTGAACGTTTTGGCACTCAATATCTTGCACTCAATGGTTGGCTTGGCAGAGCTGCTGCAGACCACGGCTGATGAGGACTTGCACTCATATAATACCTCCTCGATTATTTGAATTTATTTTGGGCGCCGCGTGCTCGCATGAGTCTGAACGATCCTGGGAGGGTGTTCTGACTTCAAAGTTCCGATATAATGTTATCTTGGAGAGACTACAGCAAATCGGCGCTAGACCGCTATGCTCCTGCGGAGCCGGAGAGTCTCTATCTCTAGATTTCTGTGAGTCCATTTGGAGGTACAGCTGGATGTTGAAAAACGTCATGACCTGCTTGACCGAGGCTTGACCCTGCAACCATCTCGCTGCCGTCCAAGACTCTCAGCGGGCCTTGATTGTTCACCTATCATCCTGAACCTCTAGATGGTGCTCGATTAGGAACAATGGGGAGTGATAGTTCTGGACTTTCAGGACCGGACCCACCGCGCTGCGACCGCAAAACATGGGGTTCTTAAGTGTTCAGTTAGTTGATTCTCTCTGCCTTATCGGTAATACGAGGGGGTATCGTTGGATCATGGCGTTACACTCGGTCGGGTCTTTCCACCTTGCCTTTATGACATCTCTGTTCCCGGGCGTAGATTCAAGTTGAGTTGAGAGATGCCCATCGATTCAAATAGTTACATTGGCTGTTTCAACAGTTGTTTAGAACTGTGCCAGTGGTTTCAAATTGAATCAGGTCATAGCATTCTCCGGAAACCCTTGCTAGCAGCGGTCGTCTGAGCTCACCCAAGCCTGATGAATGACCAACCTCCGCCTCAAAATCCACTCCAGTGATTTCCCT